AGTATTTTTATTGTTTCTCCACTTGCTTTTTGTCTTACTGAGTATTTAATTAGTCTGCTGCATGTGAAATGTGAAATCACCTCCCCCTAGTGTCATTCTTTTGTAGAGGAACGGCTTACGGGCTCCATACACCAACCGACAGAGAGATAAGGGGAGAATAAAAAAATTGTTAGAAAAGATGGAGACCAAAGGAGATATCTGTATGAGTTTAAAATGTATTGGTATCATGTAACATTAAATTTTAAATATATTTTTTTAACAGAGGAATACACAAACGGCAAGTCCGATACGAGTGTGGAGGAAGAAATAAACTCATCCGATTCAGGGTACAGGCCGAAGACACCGAGCACTGCTGAACGAAGGAAAATGTTTGAGAATACAGAGTGAGTTGTTTTATTTATCATTTCAATATATTTTTTTACTAACACTTTTCATATAATACCTATTTAATATGGACTTGGCTACTTAGAATTAACATTATATTTACGATATAAAATTTTAAAGATTAAACTATACTAATGTTATAAAGTTAGTTGTATGGATGAACGTGCTCATCTCAGGAACTACTGTTCGAATTAAAAAATGATATTTAGTGTTGCATAGCCCATTTATTGAGGAAGGCTTTAGACTTTATAACATCACGCTACGGACCAATAGGAGACGAGCATTAAACGACGGCTGTCTGTTGTTGTACACAGGGGTGGGCAGACTGGGCAGTCAATCGCGGATCGTCGCCGCGCTTATGAGTCCCGCTCCGTGAGCGTGGCCGTAGAGTCGGATACACCGCCTTCACCGGCTCCACTAAGGTAACTATCTGTTTTTGATGGTATCAGGGCAATCGAATAGACTCAAGTACGTTGCCGCTTCAAATTAAACCACAGATACCTAATTAAAACTATCATTCAACTATCATACCTAATTAGAAAAGGAGTTGGACTTCTAGTTTTAGCACGAAAGAATAACTTAACACCGGTTTTTTATGAGGCCGTGGCATCACCATAGAGATAATATATGAATAGAGCAGCCAATCCCACCTAACCCAATGTTTTGAGCTGTCGCACGGTGCGACAGAGATCGCTGCACACAGAGTCTCTCTATCTCTCTCTCATTTCATGTACATAGGGAATTAAGAAAGAGATAGAAAGAGCCTATGCGTGCAACGATCTCTCTCGCACCGTGAGGCTTCCCTTGCGTGCTCTATTCTTATATTATCTCTATGGACATCACTCCTATCGAGTCGGCCCATACGTGCCAAAGCTTAGCTCTAATCTTTTTTTCATTAGTTTTACTTTTTTTTTTTTTTTTTTTTATTGAATCTCCAACAAGAAATACACCTTACATGCTAGTTATAAAGCCAATAAAATTTTAAGTCTTGTGCTTCCTCAATCATAGGAGACCACAACATGGACATTACAAAAAAAGATTAAAGACAGTGGCCACAAATGGCCTTTGTAAATAAGAAAAAAAAACAATTAAAGAATCATAACAATCAATTGTGCAAAGAATTGTAGATTATAAATTGTAAATTAGCAGCAGTCAAAATTCAAAATTTAAATGGTAAGGAGGTACGTCAATAATCACACAGTGTTCAATATATGAGTGCGAACATTTTTTTTAAATTTACCCAGACTATTAGAAAAGATGTCTATGTTCTCCGAAGCAACTGAAATGGTGTCATATTCGCGAGTCATCCTAGCAATTGGTGCTTGCTTCCCTAAATTCGTCCGGGCTCGTGGGACCTTAAATAGCGGGCGAGGGTAGCGTGGGATTCTAGTTGGAACACCTATACCGACCTTACTGAGGAGGAGGAGGACTTCAATTAGATGTTGCATTTTATCTGAAAGTTCGGTTTAAAGATGTTGGTTAATCATATGCACAGTCTATGTTAACGAAGCAGATTATAAAATTTGTGTTATTTAGTTTTAGTTTTATTTTATTTAAGTTTTATTTTTTATCGATAGCCCAACCATCTCGATTCCTTGGCGTTACCTAGAGATGTTGCTTCACTCTGCATTCTCTATCGCATATATCTTGAATAGTGCTCGGAGGAATTGTTCTTACTAATACCGGCCGAAACTTTCCGCCATGGTTCCAGGCGGAAAAGTTTTCATCCCCATTTCCTGGATAGTTGGCGTTCCACTACTGTGTGCTTTTAGAGACACTTTTTGCATCGAACAATCAATCTGTAGAACGGGTTATCGTCTGCGGTATTTCCGGACCAGGACTTCAAGAAAAGAGCGTACTCCTTTGTACCTTTGTTACTCGTACTCGTTTGTGACTCCTGGGTTGTAGATGTTCATGGGCGGCTATCGTCACTTTCCATCAGGTGCCCCGTTAGCTCGTCTGCCCCATCTAACATAAAAAAAAAACAAATTACATCAAAATAATTACCCATATCGGCTTTGGCTTCGGCTTTCTGATACATAAATATATAATTACTAGCGGACCCGACAGACGTTGTCCTGTCAAATTTGACACTGCGATGGTAGCGCCGTCTGTCTGATCCAATGTAAAACATTCCAAAATCAACAACTACTAATAAATTAAAAATTAATTAAAAAAACATTGTCCAGCGGGACAAAATTGTGAATCTAAACCATTCCCAGATCCCCTTGAACACACACAAAAAATTTCATCAAAATCGGTCCAGTCGTTTGAGAGAAGTTCAGTGACATACACACTCACAGAAGAATTATATATATAAAGATTTGAATATAATAAATTTATGAGAATAGAGATAAAAAGCCAGGCTTTTTACTATTTAATACTACTTACTTATTGACCCTACTTCTTTCAGACGTCGTGATTCATTAAAGTCTCGCAAGAGTCCGGAACGCGACGACAAGCGTTCCTCGGTACCCAACGTTGCCACAAAAAGAACATCCACTGTATTTGGTGAGGACGTTTAATTTTTATTTTTCTTCAACGTCAATTATAAAGAAATTTTCTTTTTCCTATAAATCTCTTAAGAGAGCAGGCAGGGCTGCTGCTCTCTTTCATAATTGTTAAAAATATATTTGTTTTTCAAATTACTTACAGACATTCATAACAAAGAAAATTGTACCTTATTGTCTTGTGTGTGAGAGTATTTAGCAAATACTTTAACACAATGACAGTAAGATGTAATTTCCAATAGAGCAATAGATTACGTACTATTAAGACTAAACATTACAATATTCTATGTGTAATTTTAGATACGGAATGAACCTCGGACAGTTTAAAAGCTTAAACATGGACGTTTGATTAATGTTTTTTTGTTATTTATCGATTCGTAGGTAAAGTATCGAAATTCCGTCACCTAAAGGGCACACCGGGCCACAAGTCGACGCAAGTTGAAAACATCAAGAACATTAGCAGGCAGATTTCTGGTGAATGCAACGGATTTTACTGTAAGTCTATATTTAAATTTGTGAAGTCGGACTTCTTTTAATTAAATTAATAATTTAATAGTAACTTTTTAATCTATATGTTATTCGAGTAAACAATATACATGTGAATTTAATCAGACAAGGTGTTGTATGAGCTTGAGGTGATATATTTTAAATTATGGTTATTATTCATATAATAAACTCCGTAGTCTTGTATTTCATTTCGATTATACATTTTTGTTATTAACAGGCCTGTTCGTCTAGTGGTTAGTGACCTTGACTGCTTAGGGCTGCTGAAGGTCGTGGGTTCGATTCCCACCAGGACTAA